AGGGGCGCGCTGGCTGCAGAGGAGGGGTGCCCGGGGGGGAGGATGGGCCCTGAAACACAACAGGGTGCAGTCAGCCTAGGACCTGCTGCTCAGGGGGATGGAGAGCAGCCCAGGTTCGCCCTTCCAGGATGACCCGGGGTGAGCCCGCCCAGTTCCTGTCTCTTCTGCATATGGCCTGACTGGCCCACTCCATCACACGTGTGCCTGGCAGTCCCTGAGCTCAGACTGCCTCCTGCTTCAGCCTCCTTTGTCCAGCTGGACAGGAAGCACTCTCATGGCCAGCACAAGCTATGCCTCTTTCCTCCTCTGATCCTCATAAGTACTTAACATCATCCCGTGTCTTGGCAGAAATTGGTCCCTGAGGTGTAACTGGAACATTTGGGGGCTATGGCAGGAATCTGCGGGCCCCAGGGCTGAGGGGGACATGGGTGAGGGGCAGTGCTGACAGGGACATCCATCCAGCCACCATCCTGATACTGCCTGTGCCTCCACTGTGTGTCAGGCACAGTGCCAGGCCAGCCCGGGCTCGCCCCATGGTGCTCAGTGCCTAGCAGGGAAGTTGGCAAACCCCACTGGTGGGTGTGAAGCCGTGGTGCCTGTGATAGGGCTCCTGCCTTGCCAGGAGCTCTAGAACCAGCAAGGACAGCAAGGGGACAAGGGTGTGGGGGAAGAGGGTTCCTGGAGGGACAGAGAGGAGAGACTGGTATGCAGGGAGGACGTTGGTGGGATGACTGCGGGACTGAGCTGTCCCCAAGCACAGGGAGGGCGGGCCAAGGACAGGCCCCACCTGCACGGGGACCTGAGGGGTGGTGGGGAGAGGGTGTTGGGGCACCTGGGTTGGCAAAGTGGGACAAGGCTTCCAACACATTTTGGAGGCGCCTGAGACGGAGTGGGTGACACCACTCAGTGACCGAGAGTCCTGCTCCCCTACCTCAGGACGAGGCTAGGCAGCCACTTGGGCAGTACCCTTGGCTGAGTGCCTAGGCCCTCCCTGGGGAGTCTGCTGTCCCCACTAACCAGGATGCCTCCTCGGTGCCCCCAGCGCCCCACAGTCCAGGTGGCCGCCGCTCACCCCGTGCTTCAGGACAAGTGTTCATCAAGTGTCTGTGACCCTGGCTGGATGTGGGCAGGGACAGTGCCCGCATGCAGTGGGTGTTCCAGGTATGCATGGGGCTGGGTGAGGAGAGGGCCAGGAGCTGGCGGTGAGCAGCGGTTTGGCACAGAAGGTGGTGCTCACCTGTGGCCGAGGTCCTTCTCTCCAGAGACTCCTGGCGGTGCTGCTGCTGCTCCATCACTTGTCTGGAAAGCAAGCACAGCGGGCTTTGGAGCTGCTTCATGGGTCACTGGGGTGCTGGCAGTCTCCCGAGCTCCAGCACACTTAGCAGGGAGCAGCCCCCCAAGCACAGGTCACTCCTGGCCGATTTGATTTCAGTCAGTGGTGGGATCAAGCTTGCCCAGCTTTGGGACCGTGACCCCTGTACCAGACTGGCCTGAGGGATGGACGGATACCTGTGCTCAGTCCTCAGCACCTGCTGAACCCCGGGTCAAGCCTTAGGCACTGTGGGCTATCCTGGAAATGTACACAAAAGCCACAGCCCACTGTCTGCACAGACCAGCTACCAGCCCAGGTCTGTTCAGAGGATGTGAGGCACAGCAACAGTACATGGCAGTGGAAATAACAGCCCCTCTTGCAGCAGAGTGGCCTTTGGGTGCTATGAACAGCCAGCTGAGTGAGGGCAACAACAAACTCCAAATGCCTGCCATAAGCCCAGCGGAGTCGGGGCCAGCTCTGGCTTGGTTCTCCGCTAGGGTGGGTGTGGGCCAGGTAGCCTTGGTCTGCAGCGGGCTGCGGGTCTCTGAACACAGCAGGTGCTCAGCAGAGTGGGACGGAGGCTAAACACGTGAATCTCACACTGGCAGGGAGCTTCCTGCTGCCTGTTGCCCATATCTAGCTTCGTGCTCACGGGCCAGCCACTTCCCTTTCCGGTGGGAACACAGGAGCCACCTGTTCTGGGTTCTGGGCTGGGGCCTGCCTTAGGCCTGAAGAGGAGGGGAAGCCCCTGGGCCAGTAAGGTGGTGTAGGGCTCCAGCAGCATCTAGTTTGCTCCCCATACCAAACTCCACCCACACTCCTGCCTCCTCCCCAGGAGCCACAGACAGAAAACTCAGTAGATGAGAGCATGTGAAAATGTTTAAAGATCAGATCTGAGGTTGTGCTAGTGTCGCCGTGAAAAGAGAAACTCCTCTGCTTGGAGCCATCACTCAGTGGCACCCCAGCTGAAATGGTTGGCAGGGGGACTGGCGAGGGTCCCATGGGTCACAGCTGGACACGAGGGGGTGTTCTGGTTGGAGCAGGCAATTGGGCTCGGGCCTTGGGTGAAGCAAGGAGGGACTGTGGGTGTTTAATCAGCTCTGAGAGAACAACTGGGGGGTGGTAGGGAGCAGCCACCGTCTCTGTGCTTGTACCTCCCATCTGATGGGGCTCACTCCTTTGTGCCCCACGCTGGCGGAGGTGCCCTGCATGACTGCCAGCCCTGTTAGGCTCCAGCCCCTGGCTGACTCTAGGCCAGCCATTTCCATTCTGACCCTCAGTGGCTCATCTGGAAAACAGTAACTATAACAACAACCCAGGAGAGGGAAGTGTTAGCGAAAGTGAAACAAGGTATGCAGAGACCTTCCTCAGGTGCAAAGGAGCTGGCTCACTTAGGAATTGGCACAGTGAATCTCATAGCTGAAAGGACTATGGGAAACACACACCTGACCAGAGACAGGGAGCGGAAGGGTAACCTCATTTCAACGGAGACAGTGCCAGGCCTTCCTGCTCTGCCTGTTATCCCTGTCCCGTGTGTGCCCAAGCTGAATGCTGTCCTTGCTCACCGCAGGGAGCCCTGGCTCCATGGGGAGGCTGCTGGGTGTGGGGTTACCTTCTCTGGATGTCCATCTCCTCGGGAGAGGGGCCATTCTGCACCTGACGCTGGGCGGAGGGGCCTGCGGGGCAGAGAAGCACAGAGCACAGTGGTCAGCAGAGGGAAGCCCAACAGACTGGTTGCAGTACCCTGGCCCCTGGCCACAGGAGGGATGCCGGATGCCCATCCTTGGAAGAGTGTGGCCTCTCAGCCGCGTAAGACCTCGGTCCCAGGCAGCCCTTCCTTCTCCCTTTCATGTGGCATCTCCCTCTGAGCCATAAATAAACTGGACCCAAACTTTTACATGGTTAAAGAACTGTTCCTTTTAGCTGTTGGCTCTGCCTTCCCTTCAGATGGCTGTTTCTGCTGTTTCTGCTTCCTCACCAGCTCCTGTCTGCTCAACCTCCTGATACTGACCCTGGCCTCAAATCACCAGAGTTGGGAGTGCCAAGCAGTGAGGGTGGGACCTAGGGCATTGCACATGCTAGGCAGGTACTCTAGTGCTGAGCTATATTTCCAGCCCTTTTAAAATTTTATTTTGAGACAGTGTCTTATAAAACTGCCTGAGGTGGCTTTGAACTTGTGATCCTCCTGCTTTGGCTCCTGAGCAACTGGGATTAGAAGTGTGCACCACCATGCCACATCCAGGGCCTCTGCTGCTAGGCTGACTCAGGCCTGGACTTAGACTTGCATTGTGAGTCAGACTTGTTGTGGGACTGGGTCTCAGCAACTGTGCCACTCCTCATCTGGATTCTGTGCTTCCACAGCTCAGTCCCTCTCCTGGAGACCTTAAGCGGCTCCTGGTCTGAGGACTGGTCCTCCCCTGGTTGTGGCAAGATCCTCTGCATCTGGACTGGGCTTCCTCCCACACCTTCAGCCAGCTGGTCCCTCCAGAGCGTGAGGGGGCCGGCAGGGGCCCAGCCCCTCCAGGAGGCTCTGCCCCTCTGCTTAAGATGATGTCAAAATCAGTTGGAGTTTTGTGTTACAGAGCTGGAAAAGAACAGCTGGCTGCACGAGGCTCTCCACTCTTTTAGTGATTGATTGACTTTTGCTTGGAGCTGGTGATTGAACCCAGGGCCTTGCCAATGCTAGACAAACACTCTGCCACTGAGCTACATCCCCAGCCTTAGTTTTTATTTTATGACATGGTCTCACTAAATTGCCCAGGCTGGCCTAGAACTTGTGATCCTCTGGCTTCAGCCTCCTGAGTAGTCAGGACTACAGGAATGCACCACTGTGCCCAGCTTCTCCATTCTTTTAATGAAGAACCTGTTGGACTGTCTTGAGTGAGCAGGTTCCTTAGCCTTATGAAGTATAATCCCTTTGTTTCAGGGGTGGGAGTGCAGGCCCAGGGAGGGAAGGGGGCTGGACCGTGTCATGCAGGTTGTCTGTGCAGTTGTGAGAGCCCCCAGTTCCTGTCCCTGCACCCTTGGGCCCAGGCAGAGGCAGGGAGAGGGTGGCTCCTGCCAAGCAGGCACCGCTCCCTCAGGAAGTCTGGGGACAGCACACCTGCAGGGCTCCCTCAGCACAGCCACTGCCCAGGTGGGAGCAGCACGGAGGAAGGCTCCAGCTTCCAGGCCGACTTGATGGGCACCTCTGCCTCGAGGTGCCCTTAGTCCAGCGTGCCTTGATCCCACGCCCACAGGCCTCTCATGGAGTCCACAGCCTCCTCCCTCACTGGTCACTGTCCTCCCTTCTGCTCCACAGCCCTGGCTCCGCCAAGGCAGAGGTGTGTCCCTCATTGACTCCAACCTGGTGCTCACTGACGCTTGGTGGCTTGAGGATGCTCAGTGCTGGGGAAGGAGCTGGGCGGAACCAGCATCCCATGAGCAAGCTCAGATCCACAAGCATGGCAGTAGGTCCCACCGTCCCACAGCTGCTACCTGGCTCCGGTCCAGGTCCCATTGAATACGGGACACCCAAGGAGTCCTTGGGTCTCTGTGGGTCAGGATGTGGGGGATTTAGGAAACCAGGAGATGGGGTAGGGGGCTGGGCCCCAGCCTCAGATGCCTAGGAAAGACAGAGGTAGAGGGAGGAGCGCAGGGTGGAGTCTGTGGCTGGAGAAGGAGAGGAGCCGAGTCCCCTGCGAGACGGACACCAGGAAGGGCAGTTTAAACAGTCACCAACGCTGGAGGTCACACCGTGGAGCAGTGTGTGGTGCCTCTCACTGGCTCTGCCCCATGGGGCCTTGCTAACAGTTGCCTAGGCTACCTTCCAACCAGCCACTTTTGCTGAAACCAGAGACCCCCTCACTTTGGCCTGTGCATGTGTCTGCCGGGGGACATGTTGACAGTGGAGGCCAGGAAACTCCACTCTCAGATCATGTTATACCATTGTCTATCCTTCTCCTGGTATTGGAGGTCCAACTTAGGACCTTGGGCTTGCCAGGCAGGCCCAGCACCTCTGAGCTACATCCCAGCCCCACTGCCACTTTCCAAACCTGTGTCCTGGGCAGAGCTGTGAAGACGAATCGCACCTGAGCAGATCGCTGACTATGCTGCCTCGTATCTGTCCCCTGCCTCGGTGCCACAAACAACCCCACATCACACCTTGGGGAGGGGACCGAGGTGCTTGGACCAGAGGCCCTGAGAACAAACTGTTGCAAAACAGCACTTGGGTGACTGGCATCGTGTGGGGTGCAGCAGGCCAGTTCGGAAACACACCTGGTACTTGGCCAACACCTTTTCAGAGGGCTTCATTCGTCCACCTGCCACTGGTGCGGGGAGGCAAGGGATTCCCACCCAGGGCACCACTGTCTGGAGATGGCACCTGGGGTGGCAGGAAGTGGGGGGAGAGTGGAGAGCAGCCAGACCCGGGTGCTCCTCGGTCTCCAGGGCGATGAACCAGACGCTGTCAACACGCTCCACCGCCCTGGGCCCACATAGCTGGTGGGCAGGGCAGACGTGGGCCTCGGTGGCCGGGGGTGCAGTGCACAGCTGCTCCTGGGACCCCCATGCTCACCATGACATGTTAGATACACAGGCAGAGAGAGCAGCCCCTGGACAGTCCCGGCCTCGGTGTAGGTCACTGAGCAACATGTGAGTGTGGGGCTCAGAGAAAGTGACCGCAGATATGCAGCCGATGGCAGAGCTTGAAGTCAGTGGCAGGGACGGGCCTGGCCCTGCTGAGCCTCAGGTAAGGCCGGTGGGATACTTAGGTCACTGAGGGCCACGGCACTTGGACAACAGAACAGGCTGTGGAGGGAGGGAACTCAGGCCTCCTGAGTGGATGGAGACGCCATTCCAGCATCTCCTAGGATGCTGGCAGGATGGAGAAGCTGCCACGGCCCTCAGCTGAGGACTGAGAGAAAGTCCTCCACTGCTCTACCCAACGGCAGTGGGGCAGGACAGATGGGGGAGGAGGAGGCCCAGGGCCAGGAAGACAAGCCCTGCCCTGGTGCACGCAGGCCTTTCTTGGACACTGGCTGTGGCTCTCAGCACCTGCCTGCCTTGCCGCCTCAGTGCCCCCCTATGAGGCACTGGGAGAGGGGCCAGGAGAAAGACATGGATGTGCAGGGCGTATGGAGCCTGAGGGCCACTGTGTGATGGGCCTTGGGAGGACATGGTCCCTCGGGGCAGGAAGCCTGCCTGGAGGCCGGTCGGGATCAGGGGTTTCTCAGGTCTGGAAGTGGGCACTGTGCTCTGTCCCCTCTGCCTTCCTCCCCACCTGGGCCCCCCCCAGGCTATGCTGCTGTGGACTGCACTGAGCAGTCCTGTGCCGTGGCAGGTCCTCCCCCTGGGCTCAGTCTCCTGTAAAGCAAGAGGGATGGAATCTCTGCAACTCAAAGAACAAAGGAAATACACCGAGACGCTGAATGGCTATCTTGGGATGGTGGGATTTTCCTTTTTGAATGTGCAAATGTGCACACATACCCCGTGTTACCCCCAGGACAGGTAGGCAGCTGGGAGTCCCGCGGGGGGACAGCTGCTCTGTGATCCCACCTGAGGGTTCTGGCAGTCGGTTTTCACCCACATGGCCTTTCCCTGACCACCCACACACCGATGTGCCGTGACAGGGGCAGTCTGAAGTTCTAGTCCAGGCATCCCCATGCCTCCTGAAAAGACGGAACCTGAGATCCGGGAGCGCCAGAGGATCAGCACCTGCTTGGTGACGCTTGACAGAATTTCTGGCCGGGAAACAGTAGCCACCTAGTCTGAGCTGGGCAGAGTCCCAAGCTCTCCCAGGTCCTCTCCCTCTTCTCCCTCGGCATCTCTTGGTCCAAACCCGTCTCCTCTTTCCAGGAAGCTCCTCCATCTTGCATGGTGATGGGTGGAGCTGCCCCAGACCTGGGCCCAGCACAGCTTCCCTGTAACAGCGAGGCCCCGTGATCCCCGCGGGCACCACTCCTATCCCAAGCAGGCAAGTGTCCAGGTGGGCATGGAGCCTCTGACCTGGGCCGAAGTCTTAGTCTGGCCACTTTCCTAGAGTCACCCGGCCAGGGCCACCTGGGAATTGGCCACAGAGCTGGGACCAGCACCCAGGAAAGTGCCTCCCAGCCTGAGCTGTGCCCCACAGCATCCTGATGCTCAACCCTGGCCAGATGTGCAGTTCTACTTCCAAGATTCGAAGACAAAAGTAGCCAGAGCCTGTCTCCCATGCTCAGCACAGCAGCAGGTGCCACCCAACAGGACCCTCCCCATCTGCACACCAGTGTGGCTACAGAGGGCCCTGGCCTCATCTGTACCACGGGAACTTGGGCTGCAGTGGGCCGACACACTCCACTCAGGTTATCAGCACCTGTGGACGTATCAGCTTCAGGACTGCAGCCAGACCTGCAGACCTGAACCCTGGCTGGGGTGGGGCGGGCAGTCACAACCCAGCTCTCTGGTGGCCAACGGGGAAGGCTGGACCTGGGAGCCTGGCTTCCTGTGAAGCAGGACATCACTGTACTTCTGGGACAGAGAAGCACCGAGCAGCCCTGCAGTCACGCTCCCACAGATCACAGCAGAGGCTGGGTCCCTGCCGTTCCTATGAAGACAGCTGGAGGCCCAGAGCTGCCCTGGTGCCAGTGAGCCGCATCCATTCCTGGCCCTGCCTTCTCCTTTCAAGGAAGGGGGAAGGGTCTCAAGGCCCAGGGACAGG